AGGGATGCCCCTCTGCCTGCATCTGACGGTGAGACGAGGGAGGCCGTGTTCAGGTGTGGAGTGGGGCGGGACTGTGCGGCGACGCGCTGTCAGGAGGAGACAGGTCTGCGATAGGAGCCCCCTCCCTGGTCTGTTGCTGACGAGTTTTACCATACTGGAAGAGAAGTTCCTCTCCTGTCTCCTTCATATAAGGACCATTCGCCCATGTGTGGCTGGACTGTGGGATTATGGGACTATGGGAGAGTAATTTTAGTATATGGAAAACATGTTTTAGCCTTGTTTTAATATTGTATAGTTATTTCTGCCGGCAGGGTTTTTAGCGGGTTGCAACACTACTTTTATTATGGGGAATTTTGTCTTGTATTTGTGACGCTGGCTGTGTTTTTTTTATTATGGAAATAAATGGTGTTTGAAGCCAGCTTAGTTTCTGTGCCCTGTGCGCTGACCCACCGACTCCCCTTTTTTCGCTTGTATGTATAAAGAGGTGGTGGTGAAGATTTAGGTCCACCAGTCTTAACGGCTACATATTCATCGAGCTGGGTCTTCCAGAGTTGCGTCGTCATTTGGGTCTCTTCTCTGTCTTTGCTGGCGAGGAATACGTCATCAGCAAAGAGGAGAGACAATGGATGAGGTAACTGGAGGTCGGCCGTGATGGTATCCATACATAGAATGAAGAGGAGGGGTGACAGAGCTGACCCTTGGTGGACCCCAACACTAACTGGGAAGGAAGGTGATAGTCCAGCGGCGCATCGGACTGAACTGGTGGTGTTGTTGTAGAGGAGCTGTATCCATTTGATGTACGCCTCAGGGACACCATGCGATCTTAGGGAGTGCCATATGAGGTCATGGGGTACCCTGTCGAAAGCCTTTTCAAGGTCTTGGAAGGCCATATGTACAGTCTACACTGTGCTTCTCCAACAGGAGTCGGGCGGCGTGTATGGAGTCAGTTGTTCCAAATCCCTTTACGAAACCGCATTGGTTGGAGTGACGTTTACAATTTCCCAAAGACGTGCATTGATGACTCTTTCGAATATTTTCATTGTGTGACATAGTAGGTGGATAGGACGATAATTTGAGCATTCGGCTACATCCCCTTTGTTCTTCCATATGGGTATGGTAATGCTGGTCGTCCAGACTTTTGGGACTTCCCCTGTGCTGACAATGTTGTTAAACAGTTCTGTCAGGATGGCCGTTCCCGGTCGCCCGAGAAGCTTCCAGACTTCGGTTGGGATATCATCTGGTCCAATGGTTTTTACATTTTCATCTTCTTGACGGCCGTTTCCACTTCAGCGGGTGTAATAGGCGGGACTGGTCCGGGTACTGTGTCGGCGCTTATAATTGGAGGGTGGGGGAATTCTTTGTTACTGATCTCTGAGAAGTAGTTGCTCCAAAGCCTTAGTATGGTTGGTTATTGTCCTTGATGCATTTGACTTGACCGATATCTTGCGCTGAGCGGTGGCGTGCCTTCGCGAGGTGGTAGATCTTGTTCACTCCTTCTGGTGTATTCAGGTCGGCGTATAGTTGGTCGTAGTGGGCTGATCTCGCTTTTGCTACTGCTCTCTTTGCTGCCGATTTGCTAGTTTTGTACTGCTGGTAATCAGAGTCTGCCAGTGTTTGACGCCATTTCTTAAAAGCGGCCTTCTTTTGCTTGCCGCCTGCGGGGACGCCCTAGTTTTCACGGCTTGTTCCATTGCCATTTGATGCGACGGTTTGAAACTTCGATCGACTTGTCGTACCGCCTGACATCGAAGACCAGCACCGTTGGTTGGTTGGTTATTCAGGAGGCACCGCTAGGAGGTGGTGATTGGATTTTGCTACCCATCAAGACTTATCAGATCAGGACTTATCAGATCAGGAAGTTTTTTATTGTCCAGTTTTGGTGATCCCATGTGAATCAGCATCAACAAAGCATTTTCTCCCAGGGAACTCCCCCACACTATTTTTTATTTTTCAGACCATTCTCTGAAAATCCAAGTACAGCCAAAGTTTCTGAAACACTCAGATCAAAATGTCTAAAAACCACGACACATTCAATTTAATTTAATTCATCTTTCATCTTCATTCTGATGCTCAGTTTAAACTTCAACAGTACATGGTGAATGCATGCCTAAATGCATTGGGTTTCTGCCATTTGACTGGCTGATTAGATATTTGCATTAACAAGCTCTTGAACAGGTCAGTAACTGCATGTACTGTATGTATGTACAATGGCTAATGTTGGGTCTTACGGTCATTTTCAAAACTCTGCAATATGTCATCAACTAGAAGTACTGTAAAAATAAAATGTGTTTTTAGTATATTTCAACAAAAAAGAAAGAAAGAAAGAAAGAAAGAAAGAAAGAA